GAGGCCAGACCAGGCAGAGCGCTATCGCCGCCACCACCACGGTCAGAGACTGTGCCTGGCCAGAGGAGTAGCAGTGTAACGGCTTCACGATCTTGAAGTATCTGATGATAGGATGCTCAAGGTAATCGTGATAGGCTTACAGTGTATATTTTACTTTTTAACGCTTACTATCTTCCTCAAGGGAGACCGTTAATAAACAACCGCAATAAGGGGCTTGAGATTTTTTTCCTCTTTTCTTTTCTTTTCTTTTCTTTATTAAATTTTAAAAAAATAATTCTTCTAGATTTATTGATTTATTTATTTAATTAATTATTTATTCATCTTTCTTTTTTGCGGGGGGGGGGGGGGGATGATTCCATATTCTTATACACATTGGGAAACAGTCCAAGTTAAAGTAAATTATATACTATAATAGCAACATTTTATCTAAGAACAGTATCTGTGTTTGTACCCTGTTTCTCAATAATGGTTTCATGTAAACAAGTCTACGATAGACAGGGTGTCTCTTTACAACAGTTACCGTTATAGAGGTGCCAGGAACAAGAAACCAATGTTGTACATTATTTGCCTAAACCTTACAAAAGCATATTTTGATATGGTCAGTTGAAAACTGTCAGTTTAGACTTGAGCAAGTAGCACCCTCCATTCACTACAAATGTCCCTACAATAATCTGGCATGTACAGCACTATTTACCTGCATACGCTTCCCAGGATATTAAATGGAGACCATGTGCAACCCAAACACTATTGTCTGTTGTAATAGAGCAGTGCCTACTACAAACACAACATATAAGTAACTTCCCCTGATCACTTTCCTTCTTTTCCAAATATATGAGGATTGCTTTAAACAGTACGACCTCAGATTTTAGAAGTTTTTTTTTATACCTTATTGCAGTTCTGTAGTTATTGTATTCTCTCTCTCTCTCTCTCTCTCTCTCTCTCTCTCTCTCTCTCTCTCTCTCTATCTCTCAGTTCCATGCAATCATGTTTCCAATAACTTCTAACCCGATTTAACAAGAACGTTACCTGTTCTCCTCTCAAACTGAACTCAGTGTTATATCAAAAGTAAACATTGGGCCAAAATTATACTATTTTGCACTGAAGAAGATAAAGTATTATTGATATTTCTAATTCCAATGTTGGGTTTTCTTTTTATAAAACTGATTATGTAGCAAACTTTCTTTGAATAGACGAGTAAAAAGATCAGTGTCTGCTTAACTTGCGTCAGATGTTTCTTATCTCAGATAGATAGATATATATGCTACATTTTCTGTTTTCATCCATTCAGTATCTTCTGGCGTTTCACCACATTTGCCTCTTGTCATCTTGTATTTTATTTATTTCTGTAAGTTTGGTTATTGCTCATTAGAGGAATACATTTAAAAAACCACTAACCTGCTGAAGGCAACACAAACCAGGATAAGTCCGGCACTGATGTAGACGAAGGTTGCCACAAAACGCGCCACCCTGCACAGAACTGGGTGGTCTTGTAGATAGGAATTGCTGAGAACGTAGATCTCCCAGGGGATACATAATCCACTGTTAAGAAGGTCAAGGATTGCTAGGATCATGATGAAGTAGCTCCCAGAAGTCTTCCGGAAGCGTGTACGGTACACGTAGATCACGCAAGCGTTTCCAGTGACGCCAAAGCTCATGAGCAACGTGAGGAAAGCAGTGATTGGTAGCTGGAGGATTGCTTGCTCGTGGTTGAGATCTGCGAGGAGTGATGACGTGTCGTTGGACGAGGATGGCGCCGATTCTGAGGACCCCGTTATTCCAGCAGACACGGTGAGTGAGCGCGGGTAAAGCTCGGGCATCCTCTGATCCCCTGACCCCTAACCTTTAGCTTTGGGGTTTTCTGAAGACACTGGTTTTCCAAGCATTAATTGCGATGCGCTAATCCATGACGGAAGAGAATCATTCAGATCAGTATTGTACTTTTATGGATAAAGTTGGAGTCTAGAATTCCGTAATTTAGATCAAAATATGGTGAGCCACAGCATTCTCTGTTTTAGCTTGGGTTAACCAGACACACTGGTGGCTTTAAAGTGGAAAACAAGTGGTAAGACAGAGCTAAAAGATGGCCTCAGTGACTCCAGGGCAGAGAATTGTGACTGGGATGTCGGCTGTAGAAATAGGGAAAAGAATTATCAGCACAAAAGTGCACAAGCAGCTACTATTATTTGATACAAATAAATTTAAACAAAATGGTTGATGATTCGGATGTCTGTTTCAAGTACAGTGTAGTGAAAAAAACCCCGAATATTACTGTACAATCACATTACCAGTTGAACATTATGTTTTCAATACTAATATGTAATCTCAACTAGAACTTTAAAATGCCAATTCTTAGGTCAAAAGATATGGACGATTTGTTCTGGCATATTAAAAACTTAGGAATGAATACTAGAAATCAGCTTGCTTAGATGACGCAAAAAATAATGTCTTTTGGGTAAACAAATATCCTTCAAAGAGTAGCTTATTCTAATTAAAGAACTCATAGCTTTTATCAAAATAAATAATCGATACATAGAGGGAAAAGATCTTTCGGGGTCTCTAAACAAGAAAAAAAGTAACTTTAGCTCGACAAGAAGGAGACAATGTCATGCATTCCAAGGCTAGATAGTAAGAACACACGCCAAATTACAAGTTCCACAAGCTTTTTCATTCTGAGGAAGAGCAGTGAGTGAGATTAGCAAGGAACAGAGTTATAACATAATGCTTACGCAAATTCAGCATCCATTGGTAAGGTAAATTACGTTAGAATATGAGGTGCTTCAACATCCAACCCATCGTCAGGCTCTGATATAACTAGTCGGTATTCACAATGTAACGGTTTTGTACATCTGACATCGACAAGATCTGATCGCTACCTGGTTGCCTGAGTCCATGATGTCTTCCTATTCCTTTGAAGTGTGACAGTGAGAGAGATAATGTTAAACATCTTAAAACAAGCGGAGCTGGAGGGCCAAAGTTTATGGACAGGTTCGCATACCACGGGCTATCAGGGTCCCCGTCAGGTCTCAGTCCCACCCCTGACTGTGTGGCGGTCCAGGCGGGCAAGGCGCTGTTGGCCTAACTAGAGAAATCTCTTCCTCAGCTGTCTCTGGGGAGGACATCCTAGGCCGACCAATGACAGGAGTCGGTCTTGGGTCCGGACACCCTGCAGGGTGTGGGCGGTCAGGGCGGGAGTTGAGCAGGCCCGACGACCACGGCCGTGTGGCGTGCCTTTCCTCACTTCCCTCGCCCATGTCCGACCGACGACGCCCTGAGTGCAAGGTTATGCACAACCAGTTGGTTATATTCGTTTTGGTTAGTTTTGTCTTCGTTTCTATCTATTTCGTTTCGTTTGAGGTTCTGCATCTTTATGGGTGTTTTAGTTCTGTTTTATATATGTACAGAGGGAGAGAGAGAGAGAGAGAGAGAGAGAGAGAGAGAGAGAGAGAGAGAGAGAGAGAGAGAGAGAGAGAGAGAGAGAGAGAGAGAGAAAGAAAGAGATTTTTGTATTTGCTGTACTTCAAGGTTATCGTGAACATTTTGACCAATATCACAACGTTCGCTTTGCGGAAACCCTTTCCATTTTGATAATAGATGTCAGACTCCAATACTAACAATTTTTCTGTTCGCCCGACAGTTAATATGTAGGCTAGGGGTCGGGATATCTTATGAGACATCAGGGGCGAAGGCTGACTTGTTTGACAGGGTAATCAAAGTGAAATGGGACCAGATAGGGCCTGGAGATATCATACTCACACAAGTCACAAGAATCTTACTGGCACTGGAGGCGGCAACTCTGAGTTGTGAATGAAAACAAATCCTGAATTCAGGTTGTATGCTTGTTCAACCGCTAAAATAATCGGGAAAGTATTTCATTAAATATTTATTCTAACTAACCTTAAATTTAACTTCAGATTTGAACACACGAACACCAAGGAAAGAAGCACTACAATGGCATGTTATACCAGACAGCCGAAACACTTTGGTAGAGCACGCCAACTATTAATTTTTTATTTCACATTTGGCTGTTTTTTGTCTAGCTTTTCGCGGCCAGGAGCCGCTGTCATAATCGAGGTCACGATCTGATTATAGGACGTTAAAAAGTCGAGGAAAAAAAACAAGCACTAGCAGTGTACTAGCAGGAGTCAAAGGATTATTAGGAGTTAGTTCCCCTCACATCTATGAGGTAGACTCGACCAGTGTAATAGTTCGCTTAGATAATCAGCGCGTCTGGGTGCTTATAACTGTGGCCCGAAAGGGGTGAACAAGGTATATGCGACCATGAAACAGTTCTGACTGCTATGCACATGTTCCCTTCAAATCCACTGGTTGACTCTTCCAGCCTCACTTTAAGCTTACTTAATCAAAGCTTGTGACTGCTTATGGAGTGGCCCGATAGGGGCGAACAGGCTATTTCTGTGGCAATGAAACGGTTTTGAAGGTTAGGTATAGTCTATTGTTCATTGGTGATTATGAACGTCTTTTTACATTTAATTTATGAGGTTTACGTCTATGGGTGAATTTGACTGCGACAATGTTTCAAAATTAGGAAGGGAAGCAGTGATTATTTGATTATATAGACGCTTCGCCTCTGTGAGACATTGAGGTATCCATTGTTATTACGTAATGTCGGCCTATCATTTTGAACAAATATAGTTTACAGATGTTAAATCACATGCCGTTTCCGCCTGCTTGTGCTCATACTTTGTAGCTATATATTGCGCAAGCAAATTTTCCCATGATTTAATTTATAATTTAGGGGTGTTTTTTATTTTAGTTTTGATAACATTTGTTCTTTTAGTGCTTTGTATGTGTGTGTGTGGGGGGGGGGGGGGGGGTGCACATGTAGAAATAAACAATAACGGGATCACAAAAATAGTAAGGCCTGTCCAGTGGCACACCACAACCACCCATTATTTGGTATCCATCAATTACTGTAAATATGTTTTAAAATGTAGAATTTTGCTCTAAGAAAAATGACTACTTTTATTTAGTTGCGTGACACCTTGAGGTTTCTGTGACCCTGAGCATTGAAAATGGTGGAAGAGCTCTTGGCTGATCGCTGCGGCGCAGTAAGTAATGAATTGTTTTACAAGTTCACGTTCAAGGTTTGAACGTAACAGTCGTCGGACATGTTCTTATTCTTTTTAGAAATTCTCCAACTTTACGCATTTCACAGTTTGGACTAGCATAAAATAACATACCCTGCATAGGTTGAAGAAATGCACAAATTTAAACTGAAGAAAAAAATCCAAAATTAACCTACAGAAAGGAGATACAGATTTTAACCTGTGGGGATTCTGTCTCTCGCTTGGCAAGTTACGGAAATAACCAATGAGCTCTTACATTACACACATTTATTACGCTCTTCGGCGAATAGCCAGGCCAGAAGCTGATCATAAGCGAAAGTAAACATAAAACCAAGGTTGAGAGCCGCTTTAACTTTAAAAGATGGTCTGTCAAAAGACAGTCAGTAAATTGACAAAAGGATAATAAGGATGAATTTTCAGCTCCAAGAGAGTAGTAATTGAGCACAGGTTTTGCAATGTCTTTATTAGTAGGCCTACTGCATTCTGTTACTTATCTAAGCAAATACGTAAGACCCAATAAATGGTTATAAAACAACAATATCTTTTTTTTAAAAGTATATATAGGCGTTTCTCCACACCCCATTTTCAACTCAAACATTACTGACCACCACATTTTGATTGCGTCCTCTTAGTTTCTCTCTACGTTCAATTACACGTGCGGTATACGAGATGACCGTGTGAATAAACATTTGCCCAACTGTCATCATCCACTCTAAAACAATGACAAAGTTTTCATTCGGCCAAGCTTCAATAAACAACACGGGTAGTAGAAAGCAAGCAAGTAAGCAAGTAAACAGGAAACAGTGTACCTTTTTAGGGTATTTGGGTAAGGCTATCTTTTATTCAAGGCCATAGCCCGTTCTAACACCAAATAGTCCAGCAAAAGGCTCTTATACAATTAATGATTTCAGCAATCCCGTCGTGTTTACAACACACACGGACGAACGTCGGCGTACCGGCTTTTGGAAACCATTTCACTACACTTTTTACCCGCTGAGTGTCCGTACGGAAGTAATGAACAATCCATCACTTAATACGGACACACTATCAACTCCTGCTAATGCTGACAGGTGTATCATTGAATGTATCCTGTTTACCTACTATGTGAGCTCAGTTTACAAAAGAATTTCATTACAGGCAACTGACGATGCTCCATGCATGCCGTAGAAGTAGGAGAAAATATGACTAAACCCCCTCGACTGGTCGTAAGCTGGACGATAAAATGAAAACAGAGAACTGCAAAAATTCATCGACTTGAATTATTAGAGCCAGGCCCTTTTAGCTGTGACAAATCAGGGAGTATCTTTAGCATTTAATTTCATTCTCCTCCTAGTTTTTCGTCTGGTCGGGGTTGTCGACATCCCCCCCCCCCCCCCCCTGCAAAAAAAATCCCATTTCTTCTTTATGGTATCTCATTCACAGCCCAGCTACTACCACACCCCACCTGCCGAGAAGATGTATCATCACCTTCTGCGTTCGACGCACGGATATAATAAAAAATGTCTCTTTTAAAGTTCTGTTTCCACCCGTGGCGACATGGTTATGTCAACATTGGTCGGAGCGACACATTGGAACGTGCGTGTTCCTGCACATATATTATATTATAAACTTCCATTTTGGGACGCGTGTCGTCCTGCACATATTATTATAAACCTCCACATTGAGACGTGTGCCTCTTTTTGGACACGTAAACCCCCAATCAGTTGTTCTTGCGAGAAAAATAAATGAGACAAACTCGTAATTCGGAAATAACGTTCCCTGTGGTCTAATCGCGATATCACTAGACAGCCGGGTTGTTTTTTTTTTTAAGAAATAGAAATAGTTTCAAAATTATTTTAGTAACGTCTTATTTGTGTAGATGACATATGTCTAGATTATTTGGAGTAGACGGCTTACATTGCCGATTTTCTAAAAAGGTGATTTTAAAAAATAAAGAGAAAGCGCCGTCTCTGTTGGCCTATATTTGAAGAAATTTTTTTTTTAAAAAAATGCAATCATACTTCTATAAATGGTAAGTTCCCGGAAAAGCTTTTCTTTTGTGCACACGTATTATTCATATAATATAATAATAATAATAATAATAATAATAATAATAATAATAATAATAATAATAATAATGATAATAATAATAATAGATAGCATTTGTATAGCGCAAATCCCCGCTCAACAGCAATCTATGCGCTTCACAATCTATACTATTATCCCAGCAGATCTGAGAGCTTTCAGAAACAACCTTAACTTCCAGGGAAGCATACAGTGCAAGCTGCCATATAGGCGCTAAAACACTAACATACTGACAAGATCTTTCACCGTCTATAGCTTAGCTGGGTACCCAACCCCGCCTGGTAAGTGAGGAAAATTCGTGTAAAGTGCCTTTCCCAAGGACACAACGTCGGGCCCGCGGCGCAAATCC